AGTGAGTGCAAAGGCCTAGTGCCACATTTTAAAGTCAGAAGGTAGCTGGGTGCAATGGCTCATGCCTGTAATCCCAGAACTTTGGCAGGCAAATCACTTGAGGTCAGGAATTCAAGACCAGCCTGGTCAACATCATGAAACCCCATCTCTACTAAAAATACAAAAATGAACCGGGCATGATAGTGCACACTTGTGATTCCAGCTAGGCTGAGGCGTGAGAATCACTTGAACCTGAACCTGAGAGGCACAGATTGCTGTGAGCTGAGATCCCACCACTGCACTCCAGCTGGGCAAGAGTGAGACTCTGTTTCCAAAAAAAAAAAAAAAAAAAGAAAAGAAAAGGCTGGGCATAGTGGCTCATGCCTGTAATCCCAGCACTTTGGGAGGCCAAGGTGGGTGGATCACCTGAGATCAGGAGTTCGAGACCAGCCTCACCAACATAGTGAAACACCATCTCTACTAAAAATACAAAAAATGAGCTGGGCGTGGTATTGGGTGCCTATAATCCCAGCTACTCAGGAGACTGAGGCAGGAATATCACTTGAACCCAGGAGGCAGAGGTTGGAGTGAGCTGAGATCGTGCCATTGCACTTCAGCCTGGGCAACAAGAGCGAAACTCCATCTCAACAAATAAATAAATAAATAAATAAATAAATAAATAAAAGGGCCGGGTGTGGTGGCTCACACCTGTAATCCCAACACTTTGGGAGGCTGAGGTAGGCAGATCACGAGGTCAGGAGTTCAAGACCAGCCTGACCTTGAGGTGAAACATGATGAAACCCCGTCTCTACAAAAAATACAAAAATTTGCCAGGTGCGGTGGCGGGAACCTGTAATCCCAGCTACTCAGGAGGCTGAGGCAGGAGAATGGCTTGAACCTGGGAGGCGGAGGTTGCAGTGAGCGGAGATCGTGCCATTGCACTCTAGCCTGGGTGACACAGCGAGACTCCATCTCAATAAATAAATAAATAAATAAAATTAAAAAAAAAAAAATAAAATAAAGTTTGAAGGTGACAATCTCTCCTTGTTAAGACTTCTCTGACTGCCGTGTGCTGGTGTCCAAACAGGAGGCATCTCGGAGTCCAATCCTCCTGCTTGCGCCAAGTCATGTGCCCCGCTCCTAGGCTCAAGCCATCCTCTTTCCTCAGCCTCCCAAGTAGCTAGCACTACAGGCACATGCTATTGTGCCTGGCTAATATTTTAATTTTTTGTAGAGACAGGGTCTCCCTGTGCTGCCCAGGCTGGTCTTGAGCTCCTAGGCTCAAGTGATCCTCCTTTCTCGGCCTCCCAAAGTGCTGGGATTACATGTGTGAGCCACCCTGCCCAGCCAATAGTACGGATTTTGTGGGATCCTTGTGAGCATTCAATGAGAAGACGCTGGACCGTCCTGGAGCTATGTCTGGAGGGGCAGCTAACAGTGGGGCTGTGCCTGTACCTCGCCCCTTCTTGGCTGGGAGCAAATGGAGGAACGGCACCCGCCACACCTGCTACTGTCTCCCCAGACTCCGTGGCTCAGCTGTGAGCTGTGAGGGCCCCCTGGATTCTTGGATTTTCTCCACATTGTTACTGCTCAAATAGCTGGTCTTGTTGCTGGCAGAGAACAGACAGGGGATGAGGAGCTGATATTTGAGGAGGTAAATTTAAGCAGCAGGCTTACAATACATTTTATGAGCTTGGCAGGTATAGCTGAAGTGGGTGTTATCAGTAAATACAGCAATGGCATTGATCACTCTGGGCAAATAGCCTCGAGGGGTTTACAAAGCCTTGGAATGTTCCCACGAGGTCTCCATTTGGAGCCTACATAGTACAGTATGCTGGATCTGGGGTCAAAAGACCTGCCACTCAGCCGGGCTGGTGGTGCACTGAAGATCGCCCGCCTCCAGCAGAAGCTATAATCCCAGCACTTTGGGAGGCCAAGGCAGGAGGATCCCTTGAGCCCAGGAGTTTGAGACCAGACTGGGCAACATAGTGAGATCCAGTCTCTACAAAAAGGTAAATTAGCTGGGCTTGGTAGCACACGCCTGTAATCCCAGCTATTGGAGAGGCTGAGGTGGGAGGATCACTTGAGCCTGGGAGGTCAACACTGCAGTGAGCTGTGATTGTGCCATTGTACTCCAGCCTGGGTGACAGAGCGAGACCCTGTCTCAAAAGAAAATCAAAAAGACCTTCCTCTCATTAGCTGTATGACCATGGCCACGTTAATTAATGGAGCCCACTGTTTCCTTATCAACTGTTTCCCAAGCCCCTCAAGATTGTGTTGGCAAGAAGAAAATGCAACAGTAGACCAGGCATGGGGGCTCATGCCTATAATCCCAGCGCTTTGGGAAGCTGAGGCAGGCAGACCACTTGGGGTCAGGAGTTCGAGACCAGCCTGGCCAACATGGTGAAATTCAATCTCTACTAAAAATAGAGGTGGAGGGTGCAGTGAGCAGAGATCACGCCACTGCACTCCAACCTAGGCAAAAAGAGTGAGACTCCATCTCAAAACATAAAAAAGAAAACAGACAAATAAGAAGGGAAGGAAGGAAGGAAGAAAAAGAAAGAAAGAAAGAGAAAAAAAGAAAGAGAGAGAGAAAGACAGAAAGACAAGAAAGAAAGAAAGAAAGAAAGAAAGAAAGAAAAAGAAAAGGAAGAAAGGAAAGGAAGAAAGGAAGAAAGGAAGAAAGAAAAGAAAGAAAGAAAGAAAGAAAGAAAGAAAGAAAGAAAGAAGGAAAGAAGGAAAGAAAGAAAGAAAAAGAGAGAAAGCGACAATGGCCAGGAGAAGCTTTGTAAGTGATGAAGTGCTGAGCTTCTGTGAGGAGATGGTGATGATGATGTAGTATGAGTTCTAGAATCAGAGGCTGGGTGATTTCTGGCAAGTTGCTTAACCTCTCTGAGCCTCTTATCTGTAAGATGAAGATAAAAGCAATATCAGTCTTATTAAGAAGATTACATGTGGTATATTGAGTTGAATAGTGTTCCCCAAAATTTATATCCACCTGGAACCCTGGGAATATGACCTTATTTGGAACTAGGGCCTTTGCAGAGGTCATACTGGATTAGCGTAGGCCTTAAGTCCAATATGACTGGTGTACTTCTAAGAAGAGGGAGATTTGGACACAGAGACATAGATACACAGAGAAAACACCATGTGCAGATGGAAAAAGACTGCTGTGACATGCCCATAAGCCGAGGTGCACTGAAGACCACCCGCCTCCAGCAGAAGCTGGAAAAGGAAAAGAAGGATTCTCTCCTAGGCCTTCAGGAGGAGTGTGGCCCCGCCAACACCTTGAGTTTGGATTTCTGGCCTCTAGAGCTGTAAAAGAATACAGTCCTTTTTCTTTTACTTTTCTTTCTTCTTTTTTATTTTTATTTTATTTTTTATTTTTTGAGACAGAGTCTCTCTCTGTCACCCAGGCTGGAGTGCAATGGTGCGATCTCAGTTTATTGCAATCACTACCTCCTGGGTTCGAGCAATTCTCCTGCCTCAGCCTGCTGAGTAGCTGGGGCTACAGGCTCCTACCCCCACACCCGGCTAATTTTTATATTTTTAGTAGAGACAGGGTTTCGCCATGTTGGCCAGGCTGCTCTCCAACTCCTGACCTCAGGTGATCTGCCCGCCTCGGCCTCCCAAAGTGCTGGGATTACAGGCATGAGCCACCGCGCCCGGCCAAGAGAATACGTTTCTGTTGTTTTAAGTCATGCAGTTTGTGGCAGTTTGCTATGGCAGCCCCAGGAAATGAATGCATGTGATAATCCAGAAAAAGCGCTCCATGCCATGGTGCCCGGCATGTAGTGAGTGCGAGGGGTTAGCTGTGATTATTATCGTTCTCATTCTTAGTATTATGGTTCAAGGTCGGTTGTGACGGCCACAGATTTGGTCATAGGGAGACCCCTCTAACCTCCCTGGCCCTTGCTGGGGGTGGGGAGGGATGGGTTCCCTGGTCATGGTTTCCCATGAGCTCCTGCCCGGAATGGGTGGCTGTCCTGGTGGCAGTGGCTGACTTCCACGGATCCCTGACGGGAGCGTTCTGTTGAGGTTGGTGGGGGTGCCCTCTACGAGTCCTGATTGTGGGGAGGGGTGGAGGCTGCTTGGTGTGGCAGCTGCCCAGGGCTGGTTTCTGGAGCACAGCTCAGCAGATGCCTCAGGAACCTGTCTGGCAACAACATTCCTCCGCCACTCAGAGCAGCTGGCTGTCACTCGCAGCCCATTGTGGTTTTGTGAGGCACAGACAAGGAACGTCAGCTGCTTCCCAGCAGGGCCCGTGAGTCACTTCGGCAGTTCTGAGCCCAGAGTTTCCCCTGTGGAGGCCAAAACCCTTGCCTCTCGGCCCAGCTTCTGTCCTGCGACCAAAGGTGGGTCTTCTGAGGCCTTTCTCAAGAGGAAGCCAGGAGGGGCAGGCCCCGGGATCCTGAAGACACACGGGAAGACAGATCCCACCGCACTTCCCTACTTCCTCAGCCTTCTGGGCTTGGGGCAAGGAGTGTCTTTTGGGTTGACACTTTTCAGGCCTCGGTTTTCTCACCTGTGAATGGGGATGTTGTGAGAACTTGATGAACTTTTAGAAGTGACAGCACCCTCCCCTTTCCTCTCCCCAGCATCTCAGGTAGCAGGTCAAATGGTTCAGAGCCACTGGTAAGAGGAGTTGACCACATCCCTTCCTGTGGGTACGTGGATGGCCACTCATTAACATCAGGACCAAGGAGGCCTCAGGAGGAAAAGGGGCAGGACTTCTGAAAACCCTCACCCCAGGTGAAGTTCAAGAATGTAAAAGCCTGTTTGTAGCAGGGATGACCCAGCCAAGTTCATCCTCGAATGGACACCGGGGTCTCCGGGCAGCACTCGCCGCAGGGCACAGACTTAACCCCGGCGCCAAGCACTGCATGTGTGCCTGAGGTGGGGGAGTGGCAGGAAAGGAGTCTGGGGGTGTTTGGGGGTATGTGTAGTGACTCAGAAGAACTTGGTGATCCCACGGACCCAGGCAACTTGGCCATGGGACAAGCCATGGCTGGGTGGAGTTGGCGGGGGGCAGACAGACATTTGCTCCCCTTCCCCCAGGCCCTGAGTGGAGTGTTTAGCAGGAATACCCACTTCACTTATGTTTTTGGAGCCTCCATTTCCAACATCAGGTGCAGCAGCCGCGTAGGGGCACCCCCAGTCTCCCTGGTGAGGGGACTCAGGCATCAGTGTTGGTCTTGGAGGGCATCCTGGTAGGAGAGTCAGGCCAGGCGTCGATGTGGTCCCAGCTCAGCCAGGTTGGGGGTGATGGGCAGAGAGTCTTGTAAGCAGCCCCTGCGGCTTTGGAAAATGCTTGGAGCAGATCCTAGAAAACACGTAGCGGTGGGGGGGTGCGGTGTGGATCTTGAAGCACAGAGATGTACCTGTGACCTTGAGCTAACAGAAGTAACCCAGAGCTACTCTGGTTACAAATGAGCACAATTCTGCCTCCAGTCAGCCTCCCAGGACCCCCACAGCCTTGGGCACCATTTATCCAGGTGGCTTGTTTGCCACCAGGCTCTGTGCATTGCAGGACTGGTTTGGGCAGAGTTTGTTTCTGTGGATAGAGGCAGGGCTGCTGTGAGAAGTGAAAGGAGGCCACTCCAAGTCCCCAGCCACAACAGACTGCCAGCGTCAGCCTCCGAAGATGGTATCACCCCAGCCAGGACAGGGCCAGGCCTGCGGGTTCTAGAGCATGTGCAGAACTTTGTTTCTGAAACTCCTTCCTATCCAAGGCTGGTTCCAGTTCTAGCCATACTTGAATTTTGCTGAGTTTGAGTATCTGCTGTGTGCTAGGTTTTGTAGTGGATAAAAGAAGGGCAATAATAGGCCAGGCATGGTGGCTCACACCTGTAATCCTAGCATTTTGGGAGGCCGAGGTGGGTGGATTGCTTGAGCTCAGGAGTTCAAGACCAGCCTGGGCAACATGGTGAAACCCCATCTCTACTAAAATACAAACACTTGGGTGTGTTGGTGCATGCCTGTAGTCCCAGCTACTTGGGAGGCTGAGGCAGAAGAACTGCTTGAATCTGGGAGGCAGAGGTTACAGTGAGCTGAGATCGCACCACTGCACTCCAGCCTGGGTGACAGAGCATCTGTCTCAAAAAAAAAAAAAAAAAAGAATGACAATAATGGTGGTAGTCCTAATGACAGTGACAGTTTCTTCATCTGTAACATGGGATAATTACAGTACCCGCCTCATATGTGCTGTAAGGATTAAACGGGATAGTAGCATATAGTACCTAGCACATAGTACGTGCTCAATAAATATTACCTGTTAATGAGGAAACTGAGGCTCAGAGAGGTTAAGGGCCTTACCCTAAGTCACACAGCATGGGAGTCTGATTCAGGGACCTCCAATCTAATGTAGGAGACTGACAGTCCCTCACAGTTGTGAATCCAGTGCTAGGTGAGCTAAGGGAAGGGGAGGTGGTCCTAGGGGACTTCTGACTAGGTATCAGGAGTCCCCACGGAGGAGGTGGTCCTTTCATTGAGCCTCACAGGTAAACAGCTGCAGGTGGAGATGTGGGGGTGGGGGTGGGGGCAGAGCATATGGAAAACTCAAGGACCAGAAAGAGGGTGCCTTGGGGGGTCAGTGGGAGAAAAGGCCAGGCAGGGCGGCTGCAGGCAGATGGTGAAGAGCTCTGAGTGCATGCTGAGGAATGGCCCACAGTGACAAGGACCCCACTGACTGTGCCCTTGAAAGGCAGTGTGGTACAGTGGTTCAAGACCTGGACTCTGCAGCCAGCCTGCCCCAGTCAAATCTATAGCAGGGGGACAGTAGCGGGATGTACAGGAAGAATAAGCAGGGGTGACTGCACAGCTCCAACCCAGTGCCAGGGTAAATCCCTTCACCGCTGCCTACCTGTCTGCCAGGGACTGTGTGGCTTTTATGTCCAGGAGAGCATGGGGTTCCGTCTTCAGGCTGTGACTCTGGAGATGCCTCGAGTCTCCTGAGTCCCCGGGTCTCTTCCCCCTGAAGGCATGTGCTACAGAGGCTGTGAGGATGCCAAGCCCACCTGCGTGATTAGTGCCCAGGTGCAGGGAGTTGCTGGACACATGCAGGATGCCAGGTGGGAGGTTTGCTTCAGAGCATAGGAAATCCTAATTATTGTCATGCAGGTACTCAGCAGGCATGCAGGTTTGACCCCAGGGCTGGGATTCTCAGAAGGTGGTTAGAGTCTCCATTTGTTCACTTAAGACAGGAGCATCCGGTGCCATTTGCCCCAGGAGGTGGGTGTGAAGAGCATAGGACAGGGAGGCGTGGAGGGGGTGGAGTGGTGTGGGGGCAGCGTGTGCTTTCTGGGTTATCTGGAGATTTAGACAGGGACACTGTGCCTCCAAGATCCTCTGAGTTCTCCTTTTCCTTTTTTTTTTAATTTTTTTTTTTTTTTATTTTGAGACAAGGCCTTGCTTTGTTGTCCAGGCTGGAGTGGAGTGGTACAATCTTGGCTCACTGCAACCTCCTCCTCCCGGGTTCAAGCGATTCTCCTGCCTCAGCCTCCCGAGTAGCTAGGATCACAGGCGTGCACAACTACGCCTGACTAATTTTTGTATTTTTAGTAGAGATGGGGGTTCACCATGTTGAGCAGGCTGGTCTCAAACTCCTGACCTCAGGTGCTCCACTAGCTTCAGTCTCCCAAAATGTTGGGACTACAGGTGTGAGCCACTGCGCCCGGCCAGGTTCTCCTTTTTCAACAGTAAGTTGCCCAAACAGTACAAGTGGAATGAGCTCCAGCCTCTTATTGGCCAGTTTAGCTAACCTCATGATGGATCCCTTGCACCTGTGCCCCTGGCTCAGCATTAGGTCTAGGCTGGGGTTACCTCTTGAGCAGCGGCATCTGCCTGTGCCCCCTATTGCCAAGCAGACATGGCCGGACCAGTTGGTGGGGGCCCCTCACGGAGCAGCAGGTGTTCCTTACTTACACTTTCTGGAGTGTTAAGATGTTTCTAGGCAACTGAGAGCGCCCTGGCCAGCCTGGTGTTTCGGTGTTTCCAGTCCAGGCTTTGTTTCCAGGCCCTCCCTGTCTGAGCAACACCTCACCTCACCCTGACTCACAGGGTCTCTCCCGCTCCGCCTCCAGCAGTTTTCTTGCCACCCTCCCCGCATTCCTCCAGGTCCACACACACCTGCCCTTTGATTCATGGTTCTTTCCTCTCTGAGGAGAGCAAGCACCAGAGGCCAGGGCCCCATCACCTTCGGTCAGCAGCTGGGGCCACCGCCTGCCACTGGGTGTCTTCAAACACACCTTTCCTGGGCTCTGGAGGGAGGCTGCTTAGAGGGGGATGATTGGAGAGGGCCTGGATGCTGAGGGCCCTATTCCAGAAGGCAAATCTCAAAGGCAGCTCTGGCCTGACTTTTTTTTTTTTTTTTTTTTAAGAGATGGGGTCTCGCTCCGTCACCTAGGCTGCACTGCAGTGGTGTGATCATAGCTCACTACAGCCTTGAACTCCTGGGCTCAAGTGATTCTCTGGCCTCAATCTTTTTTTTTTTGAGACGGAGTCTCACTGTCACCCAGGCTAGAGCACAGTGGCACAATCACAATCTCGGCTCACTGCAACCTATACCTCCCAGGTTCAACTGATTCTCCACAGCCTCCTAAGTAGCTGGGTTTACAAGCATGTGCCATCATGCCTGGCTAATTTTTGCATTTTTAGTAGAGACAGGGTTTCACCATGTTGGCCAGGCTGGTCTTGAACTCCTGACCTTAAATGATCCATCTGTCTCAGCCCCCCAAAGTGGTGGGATTACAGGCGTGAGTCACTCCTCTTGGCCCCACACCTCAGTCTTCTAAGTAGCTGGGACCATAGGTATGCACCACCATGCCCAGCTAATTTTTAAATGTTTTTGTAGAAATGGGGTCTTGCCATGTTGCCCAGGCTGGTCTCAAACTCCTGACCTCAAGTGATCCTCCCTGCTCTGCCTCCCAAACTGCTGGGATTACAGGCGTGAGCCATCGCGCTTGGCCTGACCTCTGAGTAGGTCTCTCTCTCTCCTGTCCTCCTTCCCTCCTTCCTCCTTTCTCTCTTAAACGGCTTTATTGAGATATAATTATCATACCACAACATTCACCTGTTTAAAGTGTACAATCCAATTGTTTTTAGTATATTCACAGAGTTGTACAACTGTCACCATAATCTAACTTTAGGACATTTTATCATGCCCCAAAGAAGCCCCATTCATAGTCACTCCTCATTCTCCCTCCCACCTCCCAGGACCTGGCAACCACTCAATTATTTTCTTTCCATGGAGTTCCTTGGTGATGCAACTGTGAACAGTGAAGCCAGTCCCAGGTGGCTGAGGTGGGATAGTCCTGCCCTTGGATCAGGCTTTCAGCAAGCAGAATCCCAGAGTGGGCCATCCAGCTGGCCCACTCACTTCCTCGTGGCTGTAGCCCTGAGAAGGTCACCAGTCTTCATGTACCCAGGGAGGGGCATGAGACCCAGAACAGGGAGGAAATCTGACCAAGGTCACATCGTGCGTAGAGGACACAGCTCCTGCTGGCAGTACCCACCATCTCCGGCACTCCAAGCTGCCTTCCCATAGCAGCCCCTACACATCCATGGGCCTCCCGCTGGCCTCAGTCTCTCCATCTGTACAATGGGAATAATAACACCTACCACACATGTTGCGGGGATTGAATGAAAGCAAAGGCAATCCTGTGTGTAAAGAGTTTTTCCCGGTGCCTGGCATGAAGCTGTCCCTCAGTCCCTTGCTGAAGTTTAATTAGATTAAATTCCCATCCTGGCATTCAGGGCCCTGCACATTCTGGTTGTCTGGGGTGGATGGAAGTTTGTCCCTCCCCTCCCCTAGAAGGTGGCAGATGGAAGCCACTGGAACCACAGGATGCTTGCTGCTTCCTTTCGGTCACCTGGAAGCTGGTGGTGTCGGCGGGGCAGGCGAGAGGTTGACACTAGTGGCGATGACTCAGCACAGAGAGCTGTGGGAGTCTGGTTAATCAGCAGCGTCAAAACTTCCTGTTGCTGTTTGCAAACAAGGGCCACCCCCGGAGGAGGAGGACCAGAGCTAGGGGAAAGGCTGCGCGTCACAGAACCTCAGCAAAGCAATGCTACAGTCTAAAGGCAGCAGCAGCGGTGGTGCTAAGAGTTCAGCACGTGATCAGCGGCTGTGGCTATGGCTTTCCAGGAGCATGTGGCTTCCCTTATGGCCCCTGTCCCCATCTCCCTACCCAGGAGAAAAAAATTTTTTTTCTCCAGTAGTAGCTGATTGACTTATTGCAAAGGAGCCCCAATGAAGTGCCAGGATGTGAGAGCAGGAATCATGGTGGTGGCACCTGATGAGACTCATCTGTCTGGGACGGGCCAGAGTGTTGAACCGCAGGGTACCGAGGCATTCTAGGACCCACCTCGGAAGATCTCTGGTGGCTTAAGAGCAGGCAGGGATTGGGAGCACTGAGACAGTGCTCTCAGCCCCACCTGGCCTGGCCCAGCAGACAGAAACACTCCCAGCCTGAGCACCTGGCAGAAGAACCAGATACGCCCCTCTGGTGACAGCCATCGCTCAGATATCTTTATACATGCCTCATGCCTCCCAGGAGAACCAGCCAGGGCGAGAATTCCAGATCCGAGAGAAAAACTGTAAATTAGCGTGAAGAGTAGTTCTCGTCAAAAGATGCTGCCAACAGTGTAAATTTGGTACAGGCCTTCTGAGGGGCAATCTGGCAACATGTTTAGAAAGTGAAAAAAAAAATGCTCAGACTCTTTATTCAGAAAGATTTTTTATGAAATTGACAACCTCTCTTCTCCCTTCCCACCCCACACCAGGGAATGAACGGGCTGTGTGGGTGGCAATGGTGACAGCAATGCTGTTTATAAAAGTGACAAAAATGGGAGCTACTCAAATATCAGATCCTATGGAATGGCCAGCTCAGTCAGGGCACAGGCTTTCAGTGGAATATTATGCAGCCATTTAAAATAGTTTTTTGCTGGGTGCAGTGGCTCACAGCTGTCGTTCCAGTACACGGGAGGCTGAGGTGGGAGGATCGCTTCAGCTCAGGAGTTTAAGGCTGCAGTGAGCTCTGATCATGCCACCTCACTCCAGCCTAGGTGAGAGAGCGAGATCCCAAATCTAAATAAGTGAATAAATAAAATACTTCTCAGCCATTTTTATTGAGTGCTAGGTGTGCCCCAGACACCGGAACCTCCATTCTGAATGTGATCTTGGCCTTATCCGATGATGTCTGTACTTCAGAAAAATGCAGGCCTTAGGAGGAAAAAGTGACATGGAAAATGCTTATTATAATAATTTTAAAAAACTTTAGAGATGGGGGTCTTGCTATGTTGCCCAGGCTGACCTCAAACTCCTGGGCTTAAGTGATCCTCCCACCTCTGCCTTCCAAGAAGCTGGGCCACAGGCGTGAGCTACCATGCCCAGCACTTACATGATTCAAAGTAAGAAAAGGCAGAGTAAAAAATTCTATCCAGTCTTTGCCTCCCACTATGACTGCAGCTTGTGTTTGCAGAAACGCCAATTGTGTGCCAGATGCTGGGCTGAGGGTGCTATGTGCTTGCTCTAATTTACATCTCACCATAACTCAATGGGTTAGACACTACCCCTACTCTCATTTTCACAGGGGGAAACTGAGGCACAGAGGAAGTGACTGAGCCAGTGACTGAGCTCAAACCCAGGTCTACCTGGCCCCAGAACCACCTTTAGCCACTCCTCTATACTGTCATCTCCTTAACACAGAAATGACATGAGCTCATGGTCAGATACTGGAAGGAAAAATCTGGACCAATGACAATAAGTGAAGGGTGGTTTTTGTGTTTTCCCTCTCTCTCTTGATTTCATTAGATTTGTCCAGAAAAAAAAATTTAAGTTCAAAACCAAAAACTGCCACCTAGAATTTGCAGCAGGTGGGGAGAAGTGAATGAGGAAGTGGGGAAAAATGGGAAGGATGTTAATAACGCATGTGCTGGCTTAGAACCCGGAGCTAGAACAATTTAGGAGCAAGGAGGAAAGCGGCAGACCACTTAGCGAGGAGGAGCCCGGAGGCTTCTGGAGGATGGTGACAGGATCCTCGGGCTGGGAGGCGGGCCTGGGGCGGGGCTTATTTGGCCCGTGCTACTCTCAGGGTGGTTATTGCTAAATCTTTTTATTACCTGGTGCTTACGTCCATTATCTCCTCAATGTTTGCATTCCTCTCATTTTTTTTAGACTACAGGAAATGATAAAGGGGAAAAAAACCCACAAAGCCTTGGTTTGCTTTTAGCCTTGGAGTGCTAGGAGGGAGGGAATCTCCGCCAAATTCTTCCTTGAGTCATAAAGAGGTTTTAGGTTCCCGTAAACTGAGAGTTAGGGGAGCACTGTCGAGTTCAGTCATTTTGGCCAATGCAGAAAGGCAGCCACCATTTGGATATTTTAAAGCAAGGTGGTTTTCTTTTTATTTTCTAGTCCCCTTAGAAGGTTTTTTTTTTCCCCCTCCCTCCCTCTCTCTTTCTCTCTTTCTTTTCTTTCTTGTTTTGAGACAGGATCTTGCTCTGTTGCCCAGGCTGGAGTACAGTGACATGATCATAGCTCACTGCAGCCTCAAACTCCTGGGCCCAAGCCATCCTCCCACCTCAGCCTCCCGAGTAGCTGGGACCACAGGCCGGTGCCACCGCGGCTGGCTAGTTGTTTTGTAGAGACAGGGTCTCTATATTGTTCAGGCTAGTCTAGAACTCCTGGCCTCAAGCAATCCTCCTGTCTCATGAGCCATTGTGCCTGGCCTGCAAGGTGATTTTCTTGGGGGAAAGATTGCCTTGGTTCTCTGAAAATGGGAGAACTGTTTTCCCCTGTTAATACAGTTTCTAGAAAGGAAGGGAACACAGGGAGCAGGAAGGCGAGAGGGAGATAAAAGAGTGAGAAAAGTACCATTTGTTTAAGTATCACTTGAACACCTACTGCCTGCTGAGCTGGGTCTAGAGTAGACAAGGATGAGAGGAATTTACAGTCCAGTCAAGGGTCATCCAAGACCACCACCTCTCCATGCCCACTGAGGAGCCTGGCTTTCTGAGAGCTTGCAGCTGTGAGCCTTGTGCCAGACCCCCTGAGGTGCTCAGGTTGAGTCGCGTGCCCAAGACCTGCAGTTGGTGACATGCAAAGCTGGAAACCAAATTCATGCTTGTGGGGCTGCGTGCAGGGCCATGCTCTTCGCCTCCACGAGCTCCTCCACAGGGTGTGTGTGTGTGTGTGTGTGTGTGTGTGTGTGTGTGTGTGTGTGTGTGTGTGTATTTTTGATAGTCTTGCTCTGTTGCCCAGGCTGGGTGCAGTGGCATGATCTTTGCTCACTGCAACCTCCACCTCCTGGGTTCAAGCAATTCTCCTGCCTCAGCCTCTTGAGTAGCTGGGATTACAGGCACCGGCCAGCACGTCCGGGTAATTTTTGTGTTTTTAATAGAGATGGGTTTTCGCCATGTTGGCCAGGCTGGTCTCTAACTCCTGACCTCAGGTGATCGCCCGCCTCAGCCTCCCAAAGTGCTGGGATTACAGGCATGAGCCACGGCATCCAGCCTCCTCCGCAGTTCTTTCTGAGATGCTCATGATGAATGATTTCAGAGGTATTGGAAGATTGGAAGATGCGGATTCAAAAAAGCAGCTAATTGGGTCAGGATTACTTAATATGCGGCTCACTCCAGAATGAGTTTCTCCAACTTCAATAAATGTCCTGTTACCCAGAAGCATGAGAGGACACACTTTTCACAGCTGCAGGGCACTCCTTCCTGACCACATGGAAATAATTGCTAAGGAGCCTTCTCTTACTTCCTTTTGGTAGGAATTATCATTACTTTACATGGGAAGAAAGTCTGTTTGGGTACATTTCATGCACCTGTTCTTCCCTTCTGAATTCTACAGGATCTATGGATTTATTCAATGAGCACGTCTGTGATACCAGGCCCTGAGCTGGGGTCAGCTGAGGCTTTCCCTGTGATCAAGTCAGGAAAGGGTCCTGTCCTGAAGGAGCAGATGGTATAGACAGGAATGCCATCATGATCCAGGGTCAGGGATGCTGCAGGGGGTGGGTTGAGCCCACCTGCTGGTGCCTGGTAGGGTCAAGGAAGGTGACCTCTAAGCTTGAAGGAGGGACAAGCAGGTATGGAATTGACCAGGGAAGGGTTAGTGGAGGCAGATGAGAATGGGGTGAAGGAGAGGGGCTTTCCAGGCAGCGAGGACATTTGCAAAGGCTCGGAGAAGACTTGATCTCAGGTTAAATCATTTAAAATGGGAAAATCATGTAAATTTTATCTGTGCTTTACTCTGGGTTGCTATGAGAATCAGATTAAACACAATCTGGCTTTTCATTCCCCTTGTTTCCTTTCTTTTGGGGAGCAGAACTCTCAGGCTCTTGGCCACTTCTCTGACAAATACCTGAGCAGTAAGGGGTTACGGGCCCTTTGAACACAAAGACGGGCCAGGTGTGGTGGCTCACGCTTGTAATCCGAGCACTTTGGGAGGCTGAGGTGGGCAGATCACCTGAGGTCAGGAGTTCAAGATCAGCCTGGCCAACATGGCAAAACCCTGTCTCTACTAAAAATACAAAAATTAGCCGAGCGTGGTGGCGCATGCCTGTAATCCCAGCCACTCAGGAGGCTGAGGCAGGAGAATCCCTTGAACCCAGGAGGCAGAGATTTCAGTGAGCTGAGATTGCGCCACTGCACTCCAGCCTGGGTGACAGAGTAGAGACTCTGTTTCAAACCACAACAACAACAACAAAAAAGTCTATGGACATACCACCGTGAACGCACCTGATCTTGTCTGAACACAAGGATGGCGCTGCTAGGCCCTGCCTGGGGATGGGGTGGATGTGGATGTGGAATTACAGTGTTCTGGATACTGTCTTTTGTCTGGCCTTCCCTGAGACAGCTGTGCCTCTGCCAGAGGTAGGCAGGAAGGGTTAAGGCTGAGGCTGAACCCAAGAGTCCTCCCTCAAGGGTTTAGGACTTCAGTGTTGGGATGGCTAGGTTTCAGCAAAATTTCCACCTTCCCTGCGGCCAGGAAAGTTGGCAGCCTCCTATGTAAATCATCAGCGAAGTTTCTGGGTTAGAAATGACCTTGGAGTCGGTATGTAGTTCCTGGTGACATTGTACATTCTTAAATTCCAACAACTGGGATGGGCATGGTATGGTGGCTCATGCAAATAATCCCAGCACTTTGGGAGGCTGAAGCAGAATGATCGCTTGAGGCTAAGATTCTGAGACCAGCCAGGGCGACAGAGCTAGACCCGGACTCCACACAATATTTTTTTTAAAAAATTGAGTCATGCCGGGTACGGTGGCTCATGCCTTCAATCCCAACACTTTGGGAGGCCGAGGCGGGCGGATCACTTGAGGTCAGCAGTTTGAGACCAGCCTGGCC